GGGGGGTGTAGGCCAAAAATTTCCGAATGACGAAGATAATTTCCGAATATTTCATGGCATACGAAGCCACGAAGGTGTTTGCTATCCGGAAAATGAAGATGCAATTTACAAACAAAAATGCACATAGTTTACACAAAGACATATTACAGAAGCATGCAGTGCCGTAGGAAGCTCTTTTTTATTGGAGGCTGGGAACGAGGGCCGAAGGCCCAGGGAAATTTTTTAATTTAGATTCTCTGAAATGCCATTTCCTGGACTTTGGGGAAGTTTTGACAGAATTCTGATGGTCAGAAAACGGAGTTTTAGTATGATATTTGTGACGTTACTCTGAGTATGCATCCACACAGCGGGCAAGCTGAAAAGTTTGCTTGGCCACGGTGGGAGTCGAACCCGCGACCTTTGGGATACTAGTCCAATGTTATTGTTCTGCCAACTGAACTACGTGGCCAAGTCGGTTCGAGTTGTTAATAGAGTTTTAGTATGTCGAAATTTACAATTTGCTTACAATTTAGTAGAACTAAATGGGCAAAGGCGTATTTAATTAACTATATATTGCAGGAAAGAGTATAGGTAATATGATTCTTTGCGGTTTGTCATGGATAATGTAGCCGCTTAAAATTAATCAATAGACCTTTCCCCTTATGAGTGAAATTTTGATCTATAGGCAAGCCTAAATAAAAATCGCAAAATTAGTAATATTCCGAAGTTTCGTTGCGAAATGTTGTAAAATTCGGATAATATAGTCTTGCGAAGTTTGCCGTTTTTCAGTCATTGTATTAGAAATGGGAAATTGATAATCAGTTTGATCATCTGATTATCAACAGTTTCCCGTTTGTAATGGAAAATGACCTAAAAACGGCAAACTGCGCAAAGCTATATCATCCGCATTTTACAACATTCAACGAAACTTCGGAATACTAATTTTGTCATGCTCTTTCAAGCTGTGGTGAAATTTTTGTCCAGGCTTGTCTAGATCAAAATTTCACTCAAATGGGGAAATCTGAGTAAGGTCTATTGTAGAGGTATGCAAATCCGATCCGAATCCGATCGGATTCATTCGGATTTCGGAACCAAAATGTAAATTTCGGATCGGATTGATAAAGTTGTTTCGTAGTTGGATCGGACTTCGATATCCGAAATAAAATGAATTACTTATCCATGCATTATCGCAAGAATTAATTATCCATACATTTATCAAAGTATCATCGCGGTTTTCGCTGCATTATTCGTTTGATACTTCAATTGGACGACGTCACTTTGTCAGCTTCTTGACATGTATTTCTTGCTTTTATATTTATTTGGTTAAATATTTCAACTTGAATGAGAAATTTATTTTATTAAAGAATTCTTCGGATCGGATCGGAATTCTTTTTCAAAACTCGGATCGGATTCGGATTAGACAATTTCGGATCGGATTTTAAACATTAGGCAATTGTCGGATTATAAACGTCCAATCCGATCTGATGCACACCTCGACTAGTCTAGTGTCAGTATTTTAAAAGTATATTATTTAAATGATAAAGGTGTGCATGTTTTTGAAAAAAGAATGATTATCAGCAAATTATTGTAAGGGCTGCTGCCCCCGATCGACTGCTACGACCCTGAGAAGTAATAAACCGAAAAACATTTACCGATTTAAGATTTCTTTTACGTTATCCATGTAAATGCCGTGATTTCGTAAATCAGTTTATACCAATGGTTTATACTGACAATACCATTTTATAATATTTTCTCTGTTTAATTAAACAACTAAAATTTTGTTATACTATTATTGCCGTAATTTTCCGAATGGCCAACCCGATTTTCCGAATATGTTAATTCTACAAAAGTTGGGGGGGGTTAACCACCCCCCAATACCCCCCTCGCTACGGCCCTGATCCACAGGCTGCAACACGCAGTGTTGAAGTCGACTAAGCTCGACTAAATGTCGAAATCGACGAAAAATAAGCCAAAAAACAGTTATTGAGCTAATCAATCAAATAAATACTTGGCATAAGTTTGAAGGTCCATAGTCCAAATATTTGATGAGTTTCTTTATCCCATTTATACCAACAAAATTTTAAAAATTGATTGCCTCGCTGTTTGTTTCGAAATTTTCCAAATTTGACTCGCCCCGGCGGCTCGTCCAATTTTGACAAAATGTGCAAACATCACTGGTACTATTAATCCCTAATTGTACGAGCAACTTCGCATGATTACCTATACTTATACAAAAAAAAAATACAGAAAAAAGAACCAAAAAAATTACTGTATTCAATAGATTAATATTTATAACCCATATGTAGATTGGACTCGTGCCCAGCGTCTCCCATCCCAGGGCTTTTGGGGTGAATCAAATCAAATCATATTTATTTCCGTAGGGTACGTAACCTCTTCAGTAATGTATCACTGGTATCAATGAGGGCCTGGGTATGTTGGTGAGCGCTCTGTTCATTGTATTAAACCTTAGTTGATGTTGCATAATCTCATTAGCTTGCATGGTATTTGAAGTTTCGTTGTCGGCTTCTTCGATATTTTTGTCTTTTCAAATCTTTAAAGTTGTCAGATCTACGGTGTATGTATCAAGACTTTCTGTTACGACGATATACATCATGTTTCGCTCGCTACTCTGGTTTAAATAAATGATTTAGTCGAATTGTAATCAAGACACGTTTCGACACTCCAGTCTAGTGTCTTCATGGGGTGATCTAAAACTGCAATCGTGGCTTCTTAAATACCCAAGAGATGATTTCACCTTCCAATGAGATGCATGTATTCCTTTGGCAAATAGGCACCGTCATCCCTATTCAAAGCATGATTACTCACATTTATATCTCACGCTCCTAGGCAAAGTCTTTGAACATAGCGACTGTGGTAATTTTAATTCCCACGCAATCTCGTGTTTGGTGTAACATACATGTTTAATATTATCATACTGCCTGGGACGGACCATTATTTTTTGGAGGGGGGGATGGGAAATTCTTAAAAAAATTGTTTGCAAAGATAAAAAAGTGCAAATAAATTGTTTGCACACATAAAGAAGAGAAAAAAATAGTTTATCGAGACTATAATTTCCCTGCTGACAGTGGTCTCTGTTTTGTGCAGGAAAGCGAAGAAGAGACCTCTGCCTAGATCTGACACCTCCTCAGTCCATGATCGTGGACGAGTCATTGGAGTCAACGATCAAACCAGTTTGTAAAACAAGTTCTGAAACCGGTTTAGGGAAATAAATAGTACGCATGCTCAGAGCTGAATTGACATTGAGCCCGTAGTGTCAAAATGGCGGCTTGCCCAGCGTGGTCATTTCGAGGTTTTTCATGTTGTTTGAAAGTGCTCTAAGTTATGTTGTAATTAATATTTTCAAAGATGAAACTGTGAAAGCAGTGAGAACAAAAGAAAGCAATCTTTTCTGTTTTATCGGGCTGAGATACATTTGTTTGCCTTCAAAATGGGTACGGTAAGTCTTTGATTTACCAAGTTGCTCCCGCAAAAACCGGTTTGACATCACGTGGTGAACATCACTCGTTGTCATGGCAATTTTTGCACATGCGCGACAGAAAACGTGTCAGATCTAAGCAGAGGTCTCTTCTCCTTCGCTTTCCTGCACATATAGAGACCTCTGTCAGCAGGGAAAACTATAAAAGGCTTTGGTAATGACTAACCTACTGTATGTCTCACTCTATAGCCTTCACAAAGGCACAGTTCACTGAAAAAACATACATGAGTTATATTATAGATCTATAACACAAGTTTTGGCTAACTTTGTCAGCTATAACACAAGTTTTGCATGCCTAAATTGAACAGTTTCAGCCTATATTGCGTTCCGTTTTCATAAAATACGCATTTAATAGTAGCAATTGTCTTTTTAAGACACAATTGGGCTACCGAAACAAGGAAAATAGGAAATGTTAAAGTAAGCTAACTACGAATATTGACAAGCGATGATCGTCTAGTCTATTCTTGGATTTCATAGGACGTCAAAAAAGTGACGGGGGGTCAACTCCAAAACAAAACACAGTTAGGGACGGACCATTTGATTTTTGAGGGGGTGGAAGATTCAGACTGTGCAAGATTTTTTCCGCCCAGGCGAACACGACAGATATTTTTTTCCTGTAATGGTGCAGCGAAAGATATTCTTTCCCAATATATTTCGCGGCAGGATATTTTTTTTTGCCTCTCATAATAACGGTTTACAGTAACTTATTAAGGCTTTCATATAGCTATCGTCAGAGACGTAGCCGGGGTTTTCAGTCGGAGGAGACCGAGAACTGAATCCCAAGAAGAGGGGTCAAGGAATTTTCACTGCATGTGCTTTATTTTATATGGTTATGTCTTAATGTTCCCCACACTAAAGCGTGCAAGTTTACTTACAAAAAATGTATAACTGCACCAAAACCTAAAACATGCAGGGATAGAGTAGAGTACTCGAAAATGAGGGGAGGGTAAAGTACATGAATGACCTGTAACCTTGGGGGGTTCGGGGGCATGCTCCCCGAGAAAATTTAAAAATTTGAACCTCGGAAATGCTATTTCCTGCGTTTTCAGCCATGCATTCGTCCACGACAACTTTGCTGTACTAAGCCTAAGGAACACTTACTGTCCTTTATTTTAAACAAGGGAAAATCACAAAATGAGCTTTGATTAATATGTAATAAAACAAGATTTCAATAATGCGATTTGTAACTGCCTTCCGAAACAACAATGTTCCACCAAATATAGTTCTGTAGCTTTTCAATCGTTTATACAGATAGCTTGTTGGGGATTGGGTTGCATCCTCTTCAGAAATTTTTTAAAATCTTGACTCTCTAAACTGGCATTTTCGCATTAAAATCATCGTATATACAGTATGTTCAACTTGCATCCTGTAGATGGGCCTTTGAAGCTTTAATAGCTAGTTTGGAGCTATGTTATCAAAAAACGCACACAGACTCAACCATCCAAAAATGCTTTTTCTACCATGCATATTAGATATGTATAAATAACTTATAAACTTGTACATCTTAAGCCCAAATTTTCTCAGGGGGGGGGAGCAATAATTTTGCCAGGGAACGCCACTGGCTATCGTATGTTAGAGGCTCTAAAGGCGGTAGAATCCCTGCGAGGTTGTCCACTGTTCACCCCGTGTTCTTTTAAGCAAATGTGCCTGCTCAAAAATCTTGCAAGCCTGTGGACACAATACTGAAGTGAAGAACGTCAGTAGATTTACATGTAGGAATTTTTTTTTTTGAGCGCTCTCTTTTGCATATTTTTTTTCTCGATTGTATGCTGCATGATTTTTTTTCTTTCTCCTTGGGTTGCAGGAAAATTGTTTTTCGAAATCTTTCAACCCCACCCCCCTCGAAAATCAAATGGTCCGCCCCTTATCAGAGTGAGTCGATTGTTCGTTTCATGTATTAGCCTTGTGGTTTGTGGCAAATACATGGAATTTCGTATCATTTTCTCACTCCAGTCTGCATAAGAATCAATACATTTGAGGTTGACGCCCCGTCAGATTCACTGCATAATGCCGTCGTGAAACCCAAGAATTGCGTTTTCCAGGCTTGCGCACTTAGCATACAAATTATGTGTGGGAGGGGAAGTGACGGAACAAAGAGGTCAGACTACACGGAATTCCCTTCTTTTCTGAAATTTTCCCCTTCTAAATTTCAAGCTGCGAGCAGGCTATTCTTTTCCAAGATTTTCTCAAAATGTTCGAGGAAACAGATAGTGAACAAATATAGCAAACTAGGTTTTAAGTCCTCACTTCGTAACACTGTCAAAAAATAACCTTACACGTCCGTTCTCACCTGCCATCATGTGACCAAAATAACAAAACAGTATGTTTGACCATAGTTAATAGAATAGATGGTTGGGAAACTCATCAGAATAACAATATAACTCATTATCTATGTTAGTCAACGTTTATTCATAAATCTGGTCGTTCACCGTCACGCGTATTGTATTTTTGCCCAACTAACCAATAACAATGTCTTAGGAAAGTTACCTATTGAAAATTGCTATTGGTGGATTTGGCAATTATAAGAACACAATACACACGTGACAGTGAACGACCACGTTTATGAATAAAAGTTGACTAACATATAGATAATGAGCAGCCTCGTACCCAGGCGCAAATAACTAAAAATAGGCACACTACAGTGTTTTTATATAGATCAGTGGCAAAATAGGCACACTACAGTGCTTTTGTATAGATCAGTGGCTCGAGCGCCTGGGGGTACCCCCACTGAGTAGCTCAGTGGGGTGCCCGCTGCGTCCTCCCCAAGCACCCCCGCGCGCTCGCTCAACTTAGCCACTGATCTATATAAAAGCACTGTAGTGTGCCTATTTTTAGTTATTTGCGCCTGGGTACGAGGCTGATAATGAGTTATGTTGTTATTCTAATTAGTTTCCAAACCATCTATTCTATTAACTATGATACAGTTAAGGCGATATATGGAAATCCATTAACGTGTATTGTACATAGTATTGTATTGTTAAGCTATCAACCTGTACTAATGTTTGAATCACTAACAACAACAACAACAGCAGTTAACAACTATATACTAACAAGTCAACAACAACAACAACAACAACAACAGTTAACAACTATATACTAACAACAAGTCAACAACAACAACAGTTAACAACTATATACTAACAAGAACAAGTCAACAACAAGAACAAGTCAACAACTGCATGTATACGCTATGCATGCGTACCAATTTTTAAAGGAAAACGTTTATACGATCTACAAACAGAAACTATGCGAGCTAGAAATATCTGATAACGTGGATCAATAAAACATTTTGTGTTAGAGCTCTCTACAGCAAACTACATGCACGTACAGTTGCGAGTTTGCATTTAATTAAGGTGGCTCGATACAGTTTTTAGAAAATCAATCGTATTGCCGTTTGAAATTCTTTAATTTCACATTTTTAAGTTTTATGTAGCAGATGTTAGGAATTTTATATATTTAATGTTTATTCTTTCAAATTCCGTTAACTTTAGTAACACATAGTTCATATGAAATTCACTCTAAAATAGCCTATCACGTCCTGTAATCTGAAAAAAAGCACGGTGCAAAATAATGAGAAATTGCGCTTTGTTTAAAAAAAAGGCATTTTCTAATGACGTGGCAATTGACACGAGTCACGCAAAAAACTCGCGTTCACGAGAGTAGTCCACGCGGCGCTCCCGGTTGCGCAATAACAATGTGCATATTTTGTGTCTTGGGTGGAATTCCACAGAAAGATGGTTTTTAGGGGGCAAGGGTATTTTCGTGACTCGTGATTAGCAATTATTCGTGTTTCGTGATTTAAAGAAATACCATTCCGTGAATCGTGATTAATATGCGTGCCGTGAATCGTGAAGAGCTAAAAGGCTAGCTATGGTCTTGAATTTACAAATATTTTACCCTAACTTGTGAATGTTTACGTTTAAAACTCGGCCCAAATGTAATATTATGGAGAAAAATTTATAAATTTGCTTCCCGCGGTTGTCTTAGTTCTTGAGGTTTCTTCGTCTCATCGGTAAACGTCGTTATCGTATACCTTCGTACCTCTTCGTAAACTTCGTGAACCACAGGGTTATTTTAAGAAAAGTTTAGAACTGCACATATCGGGATGTTTCGAAGCATCACGTGTTTGACTTGGGGGGGGTGAAAGATGTTTATCTACAGTATATTTAACATTGTAAATTTATAGTTAACGTTGCAAATTATGATAGACTCTCAATTAGTAATAGGTGGCAGAATAAAGGTGTGGTTGGGTGGGGTCAGACAAACTCGATTCCGGGTGGGGAAGCTACAGGTAGGGTGTCCCTCCCAATTTTGAATTTAGAGGCTCGTAAGTTCTGGCAAAGATTTTCAAAACATGTAACTGGGAATCATGAATATTCAAGATATAATAGCCTTAGGCAGCAAAGAATATTAGGCTCTCCCACTCTAATCTCTTTTGGACAGCTTCGCTCATCCCAATTTTACTTTCTGTTCCATTACCCCAGCACATATGTGATTTGTGAGGAAAATATGAGGGTCTGGTGGTCCTCTCCCAGAAAACATTTAGATTCTTGATGCTCAATGACGGCATTTCTGGCATCTGGAGCATCCACAAGGAAAACGAGTAGATGAAAGACTGTTTTGAGGTTATATTTTTGTTAATTTGATGACTGCACATTTGAGTTTTAAGAACTGCACAAATGGGTTAAGAACTGCACATTTTGTGTAGAACTGCACGTTAAAATAAAGCCTGGTGAACCATCGTACGATGCTCGTAATGCCTCGCAATGATTTCTATTGTCCTTTAAACGGCTCTAATGTTAAAGTCAGTTTGTGTTAAATGGTTTTAGACTTTGTTACGCTTCTGTGTTTCTAAAAATCGTGAAAATGAAATTTTGTTTTTCGTGACTCGTGAAATCGAAAAATGACGTGATTTCGTGACGAGACCCCTTGCCCCCCTCTTTTTACGTTTTTACTCGGATTTTTATACTTGTATTGAAATCAAATAGACAACAACATGAAGTTTAGAACAGTACTTGTTTACTTATAAACTATTTATGCTACTAAATACTCTTGGGTTTGCTTGTGATTAGAAAATATCGAAGCGTGAAAGTGTAATTAAATATATCGTTTTATTATTGAAAAGACTGTACAGTATGGCAGACCGATTTCAAGTTTACAAAAACTTTACAGTATTTTCAACTGGTGATCCACAGTACTATGTTGTAAAAAAGGAGCATATAGCATTCAAGATACGTCGGTTACTGGTTACTCGTGGTTTCGTCGATCTGGCAGAATCGAAACGATCCCCTTTCTTCCAGCCTGTCGAAACAAGTCAACGAGGTTTTGGTACGTTATACCGCTTTCTGCTCTCTTCTTGACCATGGATTTTGTGATTATGCCTTTTATATTCTTAGATTGATTGTACAAATTACCGGAGAAAGTTTGAAGTCGAACGTTACAGGCATCATTATACTGGAGTTGCTCCAATGCATTTTCACACGAAATGACCTTCGATCTTGAAATTAACATTTCTTTAGTCAACTTTAACTTGGACTGGAAGAGTACCCTTTGTAGAGCTTTAACATCTTCTCTAGCGTCATGTGCTGGAAATGATTCGTCAAAAAAGGTTGAATACAGACACTCCAATGAAACTTGACAACATTTCCCAGATGAATCCACACGAATTTCAGGATGTTGTGCTTTCAAGAGTTGCTTTGCAAGAACTAAACTGTCTCCAAAGTGGACGTTATAAGTTCCTTTAGTGTTTGGATGAATTCTGGAGTGGATGTACGCAAAAGAATCGGAACATCGAGCACTAATGAATTATGTCCGACGAGAACAGGTATATTATTTACATTATTATTTTCATCATTGTTGTGGTTTACCTTAGTGATGTAATATGCAAATGAATTCAGGGCTTGGTTCTTTGTTGTACATCTTACCGGCTCCCCCTTGTGGCAGAGTTCCCTTTGCCCGTTTATACTGGATATTTCTAGTTTGTTTACTTCGGATGCATACTTGCTTACATCTCCTTCAGGCATAATATAACATGAAAATTCATTTTGTCCATCATCATCAATAGCTGAGAGCTGACAAATCTCTGCCTGTAACCCTGTGGTCGTTGTCTCGGTATCAAACATTATGAACTTATAGCATTTTTCTGGATCATATGCAATAGCTTTGCTTGGTGGTTTTTGGCAGAACTCTGGAACTAGTTTCTCATACCTTTGATGTTGCTCTTCGGTTACAGATTCAGTGATGTGTAGAGGGTCAAATGATGTGTTATCAGAATTTGGTAACTGTAGATTAAGTCCGATATTTGACTCATATGTTTTGCCTTCTTTCTTCTCACTCTTTGCAAGCTTTGAATTTTTTGACGACGTAGTTGATTTCTACGATACTTAGATTTTTCTGTCCTTTTCTTAATTTGGCAGTGGCTGTTTTTTTGTCCATATTAGTCACATAAGTTGTGCAAAATTCTCCAGGTTTAATGTTTAGTCTTTCCAATGTATTGATGTAGCCATATCCAACATTTACTTGTGCAATTCCACATGCAACACGAAAATCACTGCTTTCACTGCCACCATAATATCTTGTCTTCGGGTTCTTTGTACCAATAAGACAATTCCCATTATAACTAATTTTAAAATTAGGCAAGGAAACCCAAATAAATCAGCACAGCTCGAAAGAGCATACTAAAATTAGTAAAATTACAAAGTTTGGTTGCGAAATGTTGTAAAATGAGGAAAATATAGCCTTGTAAAGTTGTCAAATTTTATATACTCTTGTATTGCCTGCGGAAATTCCTACCACATTCCTACCACATTTAGGCCGAAAATGTCGCACGCAATACAAAAGTATACAAAATTTGCAAACTTTGCAGGGCTATATTATTCGCATTTTACAACATTTCGCAACCAAATTTTGTAATTTTACTCATTTTAGTATTGCTCTTTCCAGCTGTGGTGATTTATTTGCATCTCCTTGCCTAGTTTTAATATTAGTCTATAATGGGAATTGTCTATTACACTGTTTAGTGATTCATTTTAACTTTGATATAACAGTGTCAGTACAATATTCATTGAAGAGTTCTGTTAAGACTTTCTTGAGTTGTTCACGACACCATGGAGGTCTTTACCATGTGGCAGATCATTGTGTGTGTAGGTAGCTGGGTTCTCAATAAATCTGTACCAAGATGAGTCGCATAAAGTGTGGTCACCAAAGGCATGTGGGACAATTTGTGACAGAGATTTCTTAAGCTGCGAAGGATTTCCTTTGTTCTGAGCAACACAGTAACTAAAACATTTTTCAAGATAGTTGATAACTTTTTGTGAAAGTGGAGAACTGTCTTTAAACTTGTTTCCTTGGCTAATGTTATATAATTTGGTTGTTAGAGACCTTTTTGCATGTGTAATGTCAGACCATTTCTCAACATCATAGGGTACTTTCTCGTGCATGTGGCTTAGTGTGGTTGTATCATCATCACCAATGTATATGGTATATCTTGTGTTTGACAATGCTTTGTTCCATAGTTCACATGCAACAGAACGTTCCAATGACTTTGAAGAGCCTTTGAAGAGTGATTTTTCCTGCAGTCATGTGCTGTAGCTGGTTTCACCTTAGCCTTGGCTTCTTCACAAAACCTGCAGTTCTTGCATCTAGTGGCATAATCCATCACTTTTCCCGTACACAAACCCATAACTGCACCATGCCCAGTTGTGGAATTGTGACCCTTTCCTCGCTTTTGCCATCCCATGTCATACGATGCAGCCATCTCGGTCACACCATCCTTTTCATTTTCAACATTGCTATTTTTCTCTTTGCAGATAACATCATTACAGCTCTCTTTCACCAAAGCCTCAACACAAGAACCTACTTCCCGTTCACGAACCTTGTAGGCTTTATGGCTTATTGTTGGTACATTCATTGTGGAAAGAAGATGGTTGACATGTGTGTGCCCAATTCCAGGCATGCAAACTCCCCAACACAACTCTGGTATTTGCATCCATACAAGGTGGTGCATGTTTGCCTGACCTATGCTGTGATGATGATGTGCAAACTTCATTTAGGTGATAACATTTCATACATTGCACATACAGTATGCTTCCTAGCCCAACCAATTTCTCTTTTTTGATGTTATCTAGAGATAACGGACCTATAAAGTATAAACATTAAAGAAAAACATGTCACCTTGTGTCATACTGCATTTTCATTGGACTCTTGAAAATCAGCCAGAAATCACTGACACTGTTCAAAATCTATACAGTATCCCTGATAGACCCTGAATAATTCCAAGGTATGTACAATAGTCCTTTATCCATGATGAATTATGAGTTCATGGATGGGAAAGAGTTACATATTAAATGAAATAGAATTTCCAAATTCCAGGCATGCAAACTCCCCAACACAACTCTGGTATTTGCATCCATACAAGGTGGTGCATGTTTGCCTGACCTATGCTGTGATGATGATGTGCAAACTTCATTTAGGTGATAACATTTCATACATTGCACATACAGTATGCTTCCTAGCCCAACCAATTTCTCTTTTTTGATGTTATCTAGAGATAACGGACCTATAAAGTATAAACATTAAAGAAAAACATGTCACCTTGTGTCATACTACATTTTCATTGGACTCTTGAAAATCAGCCAGAAATCACTGACACTGTTCAAAATCTATACAGTATCCCTGATAGACCCTGAATAATTCCAAGGTATGTACAATAGTCCTTTATCCATGATGAATTATGAGTTCATGGATGGGAAAGAGTTACATATTAAATGAAATAGAATTTGCGACTGTGGTAATTTGTTACACATAAATGTAAGAGTATTGCAACTGGATATTTGTACAGTAATAATTTCAATAAAGGGGTGGGGAAAACATTAAAGATTGTCAGAAATTATATTGTAGAAATAATTATTGAAAGGTCATCTAAATGTGAAATATTGTTCAAACACTCATTAATAATTCATAAGCTTATTGGCAAATCATGTCAACCATAATATGTCACGTGCAGTGGCTTTAAGCCTGATAAAACACTCCTAATTAGTATTCTTTATATAAAGAATACTAATAAGGCAGTATCTATTGAAGCCGTGTCCTCGTTAGTATTCTTTATATAAAGAATACTAATAAGGCAGTATATCTATTGAATTTGTAGTCGTGTTTGAAGCCGTTTAATAAACTCGCAGGTCGTGTTTTATTAGGTCTAAAGCCACTCGCGCTGCGCGCTCGTGGCTTTAAACCTAATAAAACACTCCTGCTCCCGGCTGCTCGTTTATTAAACAGTACGTAAAATGTGTAAAACATTTTTTTTTAATGCAGGTGATGTGATGTTTGCATGGTAACAATAAATAATTTGTAAAAACACAAAGTTTAGATACCCTCTATTCAACTCAGCTATCTACTTAACATAGTTAGTTCTTACCCTCAGAGCAAAGTAGGCAATTTGATAGTCCTTTTTTTAATGTGTCCATATCGACAACTCTTGATCCAATTATATGCTACAAATTAAGAAAATAATTTGTTAGAATTACCTAGAATGTTTAAACAATTTACATTAAAACTCATTTCTGTTTAGTTCTAGTACATGTACCTCTTGTTCTTGTTTCCTTTTCTTGTATTTTGTCTCTTGTTGGGCCGTATTTTCGTTCGCCGGTGGACCCGATGCGTTTAATATATCGTCACTTTCGTACGTTAATTTTCTCTTTGCGCCACAAATAACTTTGCCTTTCTTCATTTCTTCAACTCTAGCTACACTGTGCTTTCAACTTTTCGACTTTGTGAACTTACCTTTCTTATCTTTGAGCATGCAAACTGCGTTTGTTCTAACTTCTGGGCTTTTCAAAAACTCCGCCATATTATTGTTTTGCTCGGCATTTAAACTTTCCCGCGCGTGTCACGCAAGCTCGTGAAATCTCGCAAAATCCCGCGGGAGTTTATACGCTCCCACGCGCACGAAGCCAGCTCAGTAAATTATGTATCGAGCCACCTTAAAAATGAAAAATTTATTCAATCGAGTCGAGTATCAAAACAGTATAAAATAACAGCCATTATTTTTTAATGATAGCTTTTTTCAGTAAAACTCAAGCAAAGTCAATCTCGTACCCAGGGTCCGGCCCTTTTACACCATGTATTAGCCTTTGGTCCGGCCCTTTTACACCATGTATTAGCCTTTGGTCCGGCCCTTTTACACCTTGTATTAGCCTTTGGGAAATTAAATCTTAAAAGTAGCGACGTTTGTGCTATATTTAGCAAAGAAGACTGACTAGCCTCGTTCTAGTGCTGTTCGCACATTTCAAAGGGCTGTAATTTCGCTTATTTTCTAGTTGAGTCGGTTTTCTCTGATGCACTGCGGGATGTATACAGGTACACCAGGAGGATGTCATTCTAAAGACTTCCTTGACAAAACTAATTCTGAATTTACTGCATTCCAGTCAGTTACTGTTAGTCATGTTTGTCTTTTATTACGTGAACTGTCTGGTAGCAAAACTACTGACCTGGATAAAATATCCAGCAAGATAATCAAAATTGCTGCACCATTAATTTCCGATTCATTGACTTACATCTTTAATCAAGCAATAACTTTATGTACTTTTCCACATGAATGGAAAATTGCAAGAGTAATTCCCCTTTTTAAGAATGGCAAACGAAACTTGCCAGGAAATTATCGACCAATTTCTGTGTTGCCAGCCATTAGTAAAATTATGGAACGTATCCTATATACTCAACTTTATGAATATTTGAGTGCAAATAACATACTTTCTGAACATCAATTTGGTTTCAGAAAATTTCAATTCATTCAACTGCAACAGCTTTACTTGATTGCACAAATGATTGGTACATAAACTTAATATTCGCTAGTTCAGAGGAAAGGCATAAAAAACTTTTTAATTTGGTTGTATTTGTAGACCTAAAAAAAGCCTTTGATACTGTTGACCATGAGATCTTATTGCAAAAACTAAAACTAGTTGGAATCACAGGAAGTGCATTTCTATTACTCAAATCATACTTAACTGGTCGTACTCAAAGATGTGAAGTCAATGGATCTATTTCAGGGGAAAACGACGTCAAATGTGGTGTACCCCAGGGGTCTATATTGGGGCCACTATTCTTCTTACTCTATATTAATGATCTACCTGCATGTCTGAGTAAAACAAAACCACGGCTGTTTGCTGATGATACAAATATCACAGCAGCTGGAGAATGCTTAAGTGATCTTGAAGATGCAGTAAACTCAGATTTAGAAATGCTTCGTAAATGGCTCATAGCAAACAAACTGAGCTTGAATGTGACGAAAACTGAATTTCAAATTATTGGTACTAAACAGATGCTGAAGAAATCTTCTGTTCAGCAACTTAAAATTCACATTCAAAACATACCCATAAAGCAGGTTTTTCAATGTAAAACACTAGGTGTGACTGTTGATGAAAATTTGTGTTGGAAGAGCAATACAGATAATATATGTAAAAGATATCATCTGGAATATACGCTCTCAAAAGCATTGAAGAAAATGTTGATAAAAAAAAACACTCGTTTCTGTATACAATGCTATAATTCAACCATACTTTAGCTACTGTTGTGAAGTTTGGAATATATTTGGTGAAACGCAATCCACGCGTCTCCAAAAACTTCATAACAGAGCTGCTCGTGTAATCAACCACTCAAGGAACAAAGAGTGAAAGCAAAGGCAAAAATAATGTTTAAAACGCTCAATAACATGGGGCCAAATTGTCTCAAAGAATTATTCACTTTCAAAAAAGAAATATTAAACCACAGTCTTCGTAACAGCTCAAGTACCATACGTTTGCCCAAGCCAAACACAAACAATATGAAAAAGAGTTTCATGTATGATGGAGCTTCCATATGGAACTCTCTTCCAAAAAATATAAGAGAAAGTAATTCGCTCTCAAGTTTTAAAAGAAAAATCGCTACCTATAGCTTATAAAGAAAACCACATGCATCATTGTAAATAGAAAACTTTTTGTATATATTTTAATAATTTTATATTCTGCATGTTAATACTTCCTTATTATTTTACTTGTAACAATTTGTTAATGTTTTTTACACGCCCATTGTGGAAACCAACTTCTGCTGACAATGTTAGCGTGGTTAAATAAAGTTTATCATCATCATACCCAGTGAATAAATAAGTAGATTAAACTTGTCGACAAAACTCAAAAAATCTTATGGATAGTTGATGAAATCTTGTTCGAAAACCTCCCCATGCAACTATGGATATAAATTGATGAAATTTATGGATATAAATTGATGAAATTTATGGATATAAATTGATGAAATTTTTGGATATAAATTGATGAAATTTATGGATATAAATTGATGAAATTTATGGCGATATAAATTGATGAAATTTATGGCGATATAAATTGATGAAATTTATGGATATAAATTGATGAAATTTATGGATATAAATTGATGAAATTTATGGATATAAATTGATGAAATTTATGGATATAAATTGATGAAATTTATGGATATAAATTGATGAAATTTATGGATATAAGTTGATGAAATTTATGGATATAAGTTGATGAAATTTATGGATATAAATTGATGAAATTTATGGATATAAATTGATGAAATTTATGGATATAAATTGATGAAATTTATGGATATAAATTGATGAAATTTATGGATATAAATTGATGAAATTTATGGATATAAATTGTGAAATTTATGGATATAAATTGATGAAATTTATGGATATAAATTGATGAAATTTATGGATATAAATTGATGAAATTTATGGATATAAGTTGATGAAATTTATGGATATAAATTGATGAAATTTATGGATATAAATTGATGAAATTTATGGATATAAATTGATGAAATTTATGGATATAAATTGATGAAATTTATGGATATAAATTGATGAAATTTATGGATATAAATTGATGAAATTTATGGATATAAATTGATGAAATTTATGGATATAAATTGATGAAATATATGGATATAAATTGATGAAATCTTGCTCAAAAACCTCCCCAACTTGAAAATAAGTCAGTTATAAATCTCGAATTTGGGATATAAGTTGTATATTTGCCCTCGGGTATAAATATATGATTTCTATTCCGCGTTCTCGGTTTATAACTCTTATACTTGCATGGATTGTTTTCAATCTTAATCTCTTACACTTTGCCTTAAATTACAGTCTCTGTTGAAAAATTCTTTATTAGCTTCGTTATGCATAAAATATAAAATATTTAGTGGGAAATTTTGATAGCTAGCTTTCGAATAGGTCAATAGTTATAACTTTATTATTGCTAATATTGTCGCAATTGCCGCAAGTAAACGGATTGAATATTGTCTTGCAATCTTGCGTACAATAGAAATATCTCGATGCATGCGTGAATAACTTTGAACATACTTGCCATTGATATTCTGTCTTTTATACTCTACTTTACAAGGTTTTAGATTCAAATAAAGATAATTTTTATGAAGGAGTTTCATACGGAGATTTGCATGGTACTGCATGGCTACAGACGTGTATATCACCAGATGTTTCATCAGTTTTGTACACGTGAGATGTAGGATGAAAATTATGTCGTACATATTCTTGTACTTCAGCAGCAAACAGTTCCTGTTTGGGTTTAGTATCACGTAATTGTTTTGTTGCACGGTTACACACAGTTGCTGCACAACACACACAACAACACACAAGAGTAATAATGATCACAGCAACTACAGCTATCACTCCAATAACAACTTTCTTCAGATTATTGTCAATAAAGTCAAGAATTTTTGCTGGCTTAATATCCTCCTTTTCATAACCTGTCATTCTGGAGTATTTGGAGTATTTTTGAGTTATGTTGCTCGCCGTTCTTGTAGAGTTTTGAAGTGTGTCGTCGGTTTCAAATTTCCAATCCTGTCCAACTCCTGATTTGTCTGCCGTTGAAAACATACATGTTTGTAAAGCAATGAAAGCAGTTAAACTAAAACTAAAATGCAGTTTGTATAATATCATCTTAAAGCCAGGTCAAAGATCAAGTAGAATAAACTGGTGATCCTCAATAACAAGCACGGTTAACAAGACGGCAGGCATTTATCATTAAAATAGCTGGGTTTCCAGCAATCCTACGAGACCTATGGCAGTTGAAGGTTAAACAATGATAGTCTAATGAGATTCTTTTGTTTAAATGCCCTCCATGTGCATTGAACTGGAACCTGATGAAAGTCACCAATACTCGCAAGAATATCCTCTTTACTGCGAACTAAAAATAGTTGAGAACAATGGCGACTAACTTCCCGACGAAGGGCCTTTTCTCGAAACGTCGAAGTTTTGCTTTTTTTCAGGTCGTTGTAACTCTCGCAATCCACAGTAATCTTATTATCGTCTCTATCTACATTGGCACAATAAGTGAGTGGAGAGAATGCCGTGAGATGACTGGAGAGAATGCCGTGAAATGACTGGAGAGAATGCCGTGAGATGACTGGAGAGAGGGCTGTGAAATTAGTACACAAAGGAGTAAGTCAAAATTACTGCACACGCGAGTACATAAAGCAAAATTTATGCATTTATTTAATGACACTTAATAAGTTTTTATTTTATGAGTACAGTACAACAACAGTAATATGTACTAGCAATTCGATTTCAATTCCCAGGGATCTAAAATCTTTTATGCTTAAGAATTGCAAAGTGGATTTCTTAGGAAATTTCAAGGTTTATACATGCACACTGTATTTTATTTTCATTGTTTTTAAAATCCCACTGTACTCCATGCCATCCAGTCATTCATTCATTGTTTTGACATATTTGCGACGTTATGTGCAAATAGCCTATATAAAATGATATGATTGGTTCAAACTGGTAAACTAAAATAGAGCTAAAAGAAAGACAAACTGGACGACAAGCATAAACACTCGGCTTACTAAGATAAACTAAAAACATTTCATAAGAAAATTATTTTCGCTTTGTATTTGCAAGCCTGATGAGCTAAACTTTCTGATGTATTTCTGCGTGCGTGCATCACTGTATGTATACAAACGTTGTCAGACGAATTTAATATGCGACATTCTAAATACACCTTTTGCGGGTTCGCCATCTTGCAAAGCGAGGCAAACCATAGGCGAACATAAAGGTAAAACCATTGCCTCGTCCAAATGAGAATACTTGTCTCTAAAGTCATGGTTACTCCATTGTGACATTTGTGTTTGCCTTCCTTGGCAATTGAAATTCTTGCCATATTTAGCAGCTGAACTGAAATGTCAACCTTGAAAGGGCCCCATGCATGTAATGATCCCCGGCCTCAAAAAACAAATGAAGTGTACATACAGAGTAAGGTACTAGAGAGACTCGTTATGTTTCATCCGCCATCTCAATGTCTGTTGTAACAAGATTATCTGCACCATCATTGTCTTGCCTCTTGAACTTTGATGTTTCCAAGATATACTGAAGATTATATCGGTTACTATCACATCTAAAAAGATTATATTGGTTATTATCACACCTGAAAAAATTATATTGGTTACTATCGCATCTAAAAAAACTATCACATCTGAAAAAGATTATATCGGTTGCTATCACGTCTGCAAAAGATTATATCGGTTATTACCACATCTGAAAAAGATTATATCGGTTACTATCAGATCTGAAAAAGATTATATCGGTTACTATATCACATCTTAAAAAGATTATAACGGCCACTATCACATCTGAAAAAGATTATATCGGTTATACTATCACAGCTGAAAAAGATTATACCGGTTACTATCATATCTGAAAAAGATTATATCGGTTACTATATCACATCTGAAAAAGATTATATCGGTTACTATCACATCTGAAAAAGATTAGATCGGTTACTATCACAGCTGAAAAAGATTATATCGGTTACTATCACAGTTGAAAACGATTATATCGGTTACTATCACAGCTGAAAAAGATTATATCGGTTACTATCACAGCTGAAAAAGATTATATCGGTTACTATCACAGCTGAAAAAGATTATACCGGTTACTATCATATCTGAAAAAGATTATATCGGTTACTATCACATCTGAAAAAGATTAGATCGGTTACTATCACAGCTGAAAAAGATTATATCGGTTACTATCACAGTTGAAAACGATTATATCGGTTACTATCACAGCTGAAAAAGATTATATCGGTTACTATCACAGCTGAAAAAGATTATATCGGTTACTATCACAGCTGAAAAAGATTATACCGGTTACTATCATATCTGAAAAAGATTATATCGGTTACTATCACATCTGAAAAAGATTAGATCGGTTACTATCACAGCTGAAAAAGATTATATCGGTTACTATCACAGTTGAAAACGATTATATCGGTTACTATCACAGCTGAAAAAGATTATATCGGTTACTATCACAGCTGAAAAAGATTATATCGGTTACTATCACAGCTGAAAAAGATTATACCGGTTACTATCATATCTGAAAAAGATTATATCGGTTACTATCACATCTGAAAAAGATTAGATCGGTTACTATCACAGCTGAAAAAGATTATATCGGTTACTATCACAGTTGAAAACGATTATATCGGTTACTATCACAGCTGAAAAAGATTATATCGGTTACTATCACAGCTGAAAAAGATTATATCGGTTACTATCACAGCTGAAAAAGATTATACCGGTTACTATCATATCTGAAAAAGATTATATCGGTTACTATCACATCTGAAAAAGATTAGATCGGTTACTATCACAGCTGAAAAAGATTATATCGGTTACTATCACAGTTGAAAACGATTATATCGGTTACTATCACAGCTGAAAAAGATTATATCGGTTACTATCACAGCTGAAAAAGATTAGATCGGTTACTATCATAGCTGAAAAAGATTATATCGGTTACTATCACATCTGAAAAAGATTAGATCGGTTACTATCACATCTGAAAAAGATTATATCGGTTACTATCACATCTGAAAAAGATTATATCGGTTGCTATCATATCTGAAAAAGATTAGATCGGTTCCTAACACATAAAATAACTTTTGTCCAGGTTTTAGATGTAGAGCGGTGTTTGGTATTTTGATAGTTCATAAAACGCCTTCCAATCTTCCATCCTATGATTACAAATTGCGTTTTAATTTCTGAGCGCAAGCCATTTTTACTAGTGTGTTTTTCAAAAATAGCCTTCTTGAACAAAAATTCAACTTTAAGAATAATTTTACTGTTCAGTGTTTAGTGAGAAATCAAAAGACCCTAATGCATATATTGATGTAATTATACACCCATTGTCTACACCTGGAAATTTTGCTTAAATATTAAAATCTCGGGAAGTTATCGGTCAAATTATTGACCTTGATAATTCTGGACAGGGATGGATTTACTGGGGGGGGGGGGGGGGGTGCAACCCCCTAGCCCTGGGCTATTTTTCATGATAAAGCAAAAAATTATTACAGGAAAAATGAGATACAGTAATTTGAGTAATAATATGATGATAAGCGAACTGTGGACAACAATATAAAATTCAAATACAGTAGTCAAGCAAGACTTTGCAGTAGTGAAGCAAGTTAATGGGCGGGCGGCACGCATGACCGACACAACTCGGCACCAGAGCTGGATATCACAAAAACGTCATCCAATAACTGCTTATTATTTGCTGGTGTGCACGATCAATCAAGACACACGAAACATCGCGCGCAAAAACACGAAAAAATATAAGCAAGACTGTGTGAACCAACATGAATGATATACCTACATCCATAAATATGAAATTTACACTTCCCATCAACTTACAATTTCGCAAGATCTTTTTGATGACTCGTCATATTCTTTTGCAAAGTTCGTAGCAACGGCATTATAGACCCAGATCGCTGCTTCAATTTCGCGCCATGATATGTGAGTAAATGATGGCACCACATTAAGTAGAAATGCAAATGTTTAGAACTTTCTATTTGTCTTGCGACAAAACGCAATAGTTTATCCACGTATATGTCATTCAGATGCTGCACGATAAGTTGAACTAAAGAATGGAATACAAAATACATTGATTACCGCATGTACTCGTTTAAACGCCGCCCCAAATTGAGCGCCGCCCCGGTTAAGCACCAGTCTCCTCCGCAGGCATCTCACCCGACGAATCGAAACCCATTCGCAGGCTAAAACCCATAGAGAGGCCTGCGGAGGAGGCTAGTCAAGTACCGCATATTATGAGAGGAAAAATTTTCAAGAGCGCCGACCTCGAATTCTTGGGTTTCATATCACAAAAGTGATGGGGGTCAACTCTAAAATAAAACACAGTAATCCGATTGCTCGTTTTATGTATTAGCCTTGTGTTTGGTGACAAATACAGACTCCAATACAACATAAGCATCAATATATTTGAGGTTGACCCCCCCCCGTCAGATTCATTGGATAATGCTGTAGTGAAACCCAAGAATAAGACAACATATGCACTACCAGCGTTGAACACCATGCAGTAGACGCAAAAAATCAAATACTCACTGTCTTGTGGAGGAATACTCTCAACAACATGAAGTATTAAGTCTTGTTCATTTAATCTAAAACTTAACATCAAAGCCTTGGCAAATTCTCTGTTCTCTAACACTTGTTTCGTTCTTTCTGGTGTCACGTCTATTGCTAGATCGTATGGATCAAATACCATGGCAACGTCTAATGAATACGTCAGCAATCCTTCTGTAGTTGCGGCTGACCAAGCACGACCTGCGTCCAAAGTGAAAATAATATATGTACTAGAGGTGTGCATCGGATCGAATTGGACGGTTATAATCCGACAATTGCCTAATGTTTAAAATCCGATCCGATCCGAAATTGTCTAATCCGAATCCGATCCAAGTTTTGATAAAGAATTCCAATCCGATCCGAAGAATTCTTTAATAAAATAATTTTTTTCATTCAAGTTGAAATATTTAACCAAATAAATATAAACGCAAGAAATACATGTCAAGAAGCTGACAAAGTGACGTCCAATTGAAGTATCAAACGAACAATGCAGCGACAACCGCGATAATGCTTTGATAAATGCATGGATAATTAATTCTTGCGATGATGCGTGGATAATTAATTCATTTTATTTCGAATATCGAAGTCCGATCCGATCCGACTGCGAAACAACTTTATCAATCCGATCCGATATGAATATTTTGGTTCCGAAATCCGAACAAATCCGATCGGAACACCGAATCCGAACACCTCTAATATGTACGTATAAAAAGGTGAGTTTGAAATATTTTCTGCACTTCACTTGGTTGAAACTGAATATTGGAGTAGATGGATAATCCAAGTGAAGACTTGCGAACCAAGAACGCTAGTGTTGCAATTTGCGCAACCGTTCCTGGTTAGAGACGCGTATACTTTCGTGATTCAGGGGTTTCCTAATTTAAAGTAACCTGTACCTGTTTGATCTAACGAGAATTCATAGAACATGGTCGCTTATCTTACCTGTTGGCGAAAAACGAACGCATTTCACTCTGATTTCTGGTTTCACCTTTCTTGAACTCATATCACCTACAAAAGCAAAGCAACGGATTCTAATTATCACACTTCAAAAGAACCAAGAAGGATTTACGACAAAAAGGCGTTACTTCAATCAACAAGTTTGCATATATGACTAAATTATTTCACTCAGAAATATAATGACGAGATAAAGTTAATAAGAGGCCGTACAGTTCTTTTCCATGGTCCCTATATACATTAACCACCGACAATATATTCTATACCTAGAGGACTGGGCAGCGGACGATGATCTTTCTATCTAGTGTAGCTCTCCATGTCATGACCAGTGTCACAAACCGTAACTTTAGCTTTTGGGGGGAAGCTAGCATGGGACCTCGGATCCTGTTCATGCATTCACCCTTTCAATCGAGTTTTCTACGAAATTCCGTGAAATTTCATAAAAAACTCAATTGAAAGGGAAAATGCACGAACAGGATCCGCGGTCCCATGCAAGCTGCCTCCCCCCTCCCAAAAAAAAAGCTAAAGATACTAGAGATTGTTTAAAGGAGGAAAGGCTGCAGAAGTATAGTAAGTATTTTACAAGCAAAATTCCATAATTCCGGTTGAAGTGAGAAGCAATATGGACAGATTTCCATTTTTGCAAGTTGCGTTTGGTACTAAAATCATCTTACCCTTACGAACAGCAGGAAGACTTAAATTTTTCCTATTACTTTCGTCATCACTGTCATCAATGAGATCGAGTGGTCCAGCGTCAGTCATTTGACCACTGTTGAGAAATTCCTATACAACCAAAAGCAAATTCTCAAAAACAAGCCGTCAACATTGAATCGATTCAGTTAATACTACTGCTCATGGAATGTGTTGACCTACTGTACGTCCCTCATAGATGATGACATCCAACGGGAAATGGCATATTTATAGAAATCTTGACAAATAATAACAAAATTTCGATGACGGAAAATCGCTCGAATTTTTCCTTGTATTTTTCAGGTAGTTGCATATCTACCAACCGAAATTTTAAAATGTGTCATATTCATAGAAATGATGTAAACATGAACCATACATATAGTATGGCCACCTGGAGTGCAGGTAGCTTGTGAGCCTGCTCGCAGGCTAGAGCCTAGGCTGGAGCATGCGCAAAACAGCCCGGTGGCCAGGTGCACCACAAGACATACTTTTTGGAATCAATACCAGGGCTTATGCTTCCCAACAAACTGACAATCTCACGCAGCGAATATAAAGCGATACCTAACTTCGTGTGGCCAAAAAGCTTCAAAAAACGTTGATTTTTATTATTTTACTATCGAAATATATGAAGTGTTAGACATGTTTAGCTAATCGGGTTTAAGGATGTAATTCCCGAACAAATTACATTCACAACCCAACGTTTGCACACAACAGTCTAACTCGCGCGCTGACGTAATTACCTAACAAGGTGTTGAGAAACTGTCATTCCTACTCAAAGCATGATGAATTGTAAAATAATACCACTGTGATAATACCTAGTGTTTCTTTCATTACCAAGCATTACTGTACTTTCGAGAGACGACGCCAATTCTGGCCACAACATTGAAATAGGCAGGAAAATGGGAACATTCAATATCGCGTGCGCTTATTCATGTAACAGCGCGTGTGTCCCAACGTAACTACGGTATTTCACTATCTCTATGGAACAAACCTGCATAGCATCAAATGATCGATTGCGAGATATTTCAAACCTCTTCATCAAAATCTAAAACGTGGAAAAGTTCACAAGAACAAATTTATCATTGACATTCACAAGAACAAATTTATTGGTCCCAGCCTCAACTTAAACGGTAGCCTGAGTAGGCGCCGCCCGCCGCCACCCACGAATAAATGCCTGCAACGTGGTCCATACAACGTAATTACCGACTTGATTCGGAGATTATTTGAGGAAAACTATTACACACTCGAGTCCAAGATGGCGGGAACTGAAGAGCTATTGGGCATCAGTTCCAGTCCCTCTATTGTTTTTGCGCAGTTAACACGAAGCTGGCAAGGAGTGTGCGGAAATTTTATATTTTGACTTCGGTATAAAGAATACTACTATGGTTTTACGAACTGGTAACTTGTTTAGCGATACGGTCCGTTAGAAAAAACTGGAATTAGCTGGGAAAAATGTTATTAAAACTGATATTTGCTGTGTTGGTGTAGTGTACTCAGGTGAATAAGATGCTTGTGATGTTACTCTGTTCCCACCGTGGCCAGGCATATTTTTCAAGCCTGCCCGGTGTGGATATACACTCAGAGTAACATCACAAGCATGTTATTAAAACTGTTTACGACCTTCATAGCTATTGGACGTCGATGTACGCCATCTTGGCTTCACTTTTCTCATTGACCGAATGACTGAAGTTCTTACTCCAGATATATATAGAGCTCACTGATTTTGATACGTCATGACACAAAACCCTTGATAAACAGGCTCAAAACAAAGTAGTAACCCGACGAAGATGTACGTTACGGCATACAGAATGTACCAATGATTGCAGAATGTACCAAATACTACAGAATGCACCAATTACTTCAGATTATGCCTGAAAGAAGAACACTAACCTGCTGTTCAATATTATAAATACAAACAAACTTGGATTTCCCTCCAGCCAACACACATGTACCATCAGCTGTGTAACAAAGACTTGTAAAACATCTGCAACGAAAATTTCTCATTAAAGAAAACGCTTTCTGAAAAGATCACTGAACTGTATAAACTGGAACGATAACTCCAGATAAACTGGAACGAAAAGTCCAGAACGGGTGAAGCCAACATGGCGGCCAATAGAGTGATCTCTCTTGTTGGTATAAAACACGCGTGTATTTTGTGTGGGCTTCGCGGGAGCTGAAAAATGACTATTAGATCTTCTCGATCCATGTTTTTCAGTTCTTGCGCATAAACGCTCATTTTTATAGTTGTAAATGACCTATTTAAAAGCTAAAAACTAAATGAAAAGGTAGGATGATGCAACTGCAGTCCATATTATTCTGTTTTCGTTTCAACCCCCTTATAGGTAGTCCAGAAAAACAAAAGTTTGCTGGTGTTTCTCCGCGGAGTTTTTTCTGAACTTGTTTTTCACTCATCAGATGAAAGGTCACTCGCCGTCGTTTCTTAAGGACACAGTAAAGCCCGATTAAACAAACAGTAAACTGAAAAGTTATAAAACTTTTGTATATGAAATGATGCTGATTTTCATACTGAATTTAGTGAATTTCCGCGTAGGGGCCTGGGGCATACCTACAAGACGGCCTTCAATCTTGGCTTCAAAACGTAAGCCAAGATAAATCGTTCCAGTTTTTAGGGAGGTTACTGGAAAAGACAGATTACGAAACGAGGAACATGAAACAGCGAGTACTATAGTTCATACGTTCATGTACTCCACTTCTGCATTAAACATTAAAGTTTATGAACAGTTTTTAATGCGAAAATTGGAAGGAAGTTCGACAGGTTTTATTCATTTATTTAGCTTCGCTTCTTAAAAAAAACCTCCGAACAAACAGACAGGCAAACAAACAGACAAACAAACAAACAAACAAACAAACAAACAAACAAACAAACAAACAAACAAACAAACAAACAAACAAACAAACAAACAAACAAACAAAACAAACAAACAAACAAACAAACAAAACCAAACAAACAAAACAAACAAAACCAAACAAACAAAAACAAACAAACAAACAAACAAACAAACAAACAAACAAACAAACAAACAAACAAACAAACAAACAAACAAACAAACAAACAAACAAACAAACAAACAAACAAACAAACAAAACAAAACAAACAAACAAACAAACAAACAAACAAATTGAATTCGAATGGCTACTACTGTAGTATTTCACACTACATAAATCTCCATTTTAACTGCGTTCACTTTTCAGTTTGAAGGAAAATGGTGCTGTACGGTAACTAATTTAGCAAAGATTTCGATCATAATGATATATACAATTTTTATGACATACTTGGAAGCTGACGATGTTTTAGCGGTCATTCTATCACTGGATTTCCTTCCCCCTCCTAAATCATTACGTCCTTCAATAGAATGTAACTGAATAGCAGTTGAAATATCCCAGAACGTGAGCTGACCATCCAATGTTGCCACAGCAACCTCATTTCCATCTGGTCTGGTAGTTAGTGCAACAACTGAAGAGAACACAGAATGTTGTGATGTATCAGATTTTTGAGCATCTCGCTCCACAGAACTAACAGTGAAATGGTTTTTGTATTTGGAAATTTCGATCGGAAGATTATATTCAATTTTCAGACCCAACCAGGAGTAGCTGTGAAAAATGCAACTACATAGCCCTCTGACAGGAACGATTCCATGCAGATTCACTACATATAGTCCTCTATTGGTGCGAAGATATGACTTTTATCTTCGAGTGGTGAAAACAACCCTTCATGCACGTTGTAATATGTACGATATAAGAAAATAGTTTATTCGGAAATGTGAATAGTCCCTAACGAGGTAAAAAATGCGCCGCCATGTTGTATAACCCGCTGTTCTCCGTGCACTTCGGTACCACATTGCATGTTCTCAATTATTTTGGCCAGGGTAATGTAAAATTACCTTATTTACAACTCCTTATTACATTTTCCTCATTTAAATTGGCTAATTTAAGTCACGTAATATTGCAGAAAAAATTCCATTTCGTGGAAAGTGCCGTTGCACGGCACAGCCGTGAATGTTTGTATATAGGTTGCCCATTCCCGAGGCTTGTATTACATTCAATCTTTTTTGTTGATTGTTTTGACTGTTTTACAATTATTCAATAACAATGATTGCAAAGGTAAGAATATATCTTCATTTGGTGAAAGATGGAATGTTTCTACCACAACAAACTTTTAAATCCCATGCTCCTATAAAATCTGGCTGTATTGCATGCTATAGGTAAGGAAACCATTTTAATTTATCGTGTGTACAAATCATTCAATAAGGAATTACTATTTCGTGTCAAAACATTCTGCAATGCTACTACATTCCTACCGTCGTGAAATCGATAATTTGAAAATGGCTAAATCTGATTGGTCTGCGGGAATTGTGCTGAAATGAGCTGACTTTATTAGCAGTTATTGGCGTGGGAATGTATAGTCGCATTCCTGAATGTTTGGCACGAAAACAAGAAAATTTTGGTAATAGTGCACATGGGCTTATAAACGCAAGGAAAATACAACAGCCCCATAACAAAAAGCCCTCTGGAACTTGGATATTTCTTTTAATGGGAAACAATAAATAAGCGAGATAACCATAAATTGAGTAGATAGTAAAAATTCCAAGAGCTTACCGTCAGAATTCAAAAGAAGAGTTTCTCGAGCGATCCGACTGGAGTAAACATCCCATACCTTGACTGTTTTATCCCAAGAGCCAGACAGAAGAACTGGATGGGATGAACTGAAGCAAAGACTGGAAACTGGAGCTTCATGACCAGCTATTACCTGCCAATAACAAACATAGAAATGAGATTGTAGCGTCACTTCTATAACAAACTATGCTCACTTTGCTTGAAACGAGAAAGTGATTTTAATATTTTCCAACCTGACGAGTACAGACCCCTACGGTATTTTGTTGTTCTGTTTACTCCCTACCAAGAGAGCGTTTTGTCGGAAAACGTCAGAGAACCGTTATTTAGTCAGGCAGCGAGTTCACATCTACACTATATTCTTTAAACAATACTAGATTTCCGGGAAAGGGAGCGCATATGAATTAATTGCAGGTACAATCGATCTATTTCCCAACCATTGATATTTGCCAAAAATAAGAGCCTGATGAGGAGGCAAACTACAGTATATACAGTCACGAGCACACACGCTACGTAGATACAGTTACTGATAATAACTATAGAAAGTATGATGTTCGTCCTTCGGAACGACAAAAACCATCTAGTCAAGCGGGAGTTGGGATGGTCAGGTCTTGTGAGTACCAAGGTTGCTATCACTATCAGTCCAGTCGGTGCACGGATGAGTCTCTCTGGCAGTACCGCACTACAGACAGGGAATGGTGTCTACAGATAAAATTGGGTTTCCAGCCTGGAGAACAGAACTTCAGAAGTGTGTCGTACAAAAGTGATGAGATCGTCAGACAAGACACTATATCCATGTATAACCCATACCTTATTACCTCCGGTAAGAGTTCATTTGTCTGTGTGTGTAAGTGTGTTTGTCTGCACGGTAACTCAAAATGTATCCAACGTATTAATATCGATATCTTATATATACACTAGATAGTGCATCTGATTATGCTGCAATTCAAAAATTGAAGCCGTGATTGCAGACTCAGGATATTCCCATGAAATGAGAAGACTCGTATGTTTTCTATTTCTTAAACAGGGAACTTACAATACAATACAATACAATAATTTATTGAACTCTCCCCAACGGGGCTTTTCGGAGCCAAACATTAAGTTAAACCTATCCCAAATACATTTTCAAACTATTCAAATGATGAAAGTTATTGTTGTTTTTTAAGCGTTTATTAGCGAGTGGGAAACTCCAACATGGCCGCCATCTATTCAAATGGGGTAACCGCTGGAATATTCTTGGCTTCAATTTTACTAAAAGAGATGCGCTATCTAGTTTATATAAGATATCTATGATTAATACCAAGATTTGTGGGGTTACTAGAAATAAAATCGGTTACATTGTGGTTCAATTTGGATGAAAATGGGATGAGACGCAATATTGAGCAGACGTTTGTCTTGCTTTGCCGGTCAGAGTAAACTGGATGCGTAATTAACCCATTGTATAATTTATGCATGATACGTGACATAACTTGCTTGCGGAGGTATGCAAGTCTCTGAGTGCGCTCTGCTTTATAATGTGAACGATTTATACAATTAGCCATTTCCCAAAGTCCTGGGTCTAGTCGCGCGAATCCCTTGTTGGAGGGACAAGAAATATGGCAGCACACATTTAAATTAAATCTTCAATGTAAAAAGGATATATTTCATTTTTAGTCATGTAAAAAGTTGATATTTGATGGTAGATGGTAGCTACTCTTTCACATATTTGACGCCTGTCTCCATATATTTTGTCCCTCCAAACGATCCCAGAATACACTGTGATCTCTTTTGGGAAAAGACTAATTACATAAATCTATCATCAATAATACCTCGAGTAATCTTCCAGTTTGCATTGACCAAAGAAAAATTTCAAATGTATCTAATGATCCAGCACACACTACTTCACCACTATCATCAACCGCCAAGCAAGAGAACTGAGCCGGGCGAGGCGACGCAAATGTTCGGAAATTTCTATACCTAAAGATAAAGAGAAAATTGTATCATAACGTAAAGTGAAGAAACCCCAGTTGTTTGTTGATCGAAAAGTGACGTCATAATAAAATAAATTACTTCAAGGTAATAATTACTGATATTAACTTATGTCAGCCATGGTGACACGTGCGCAAGCGTGCGTGGTGGTTCAATGATGAAATTAAAACAAAATATAAAGGGATTTGTAGATGGAAATGTTGAATGTGAATTCTATACATTAGCCCTAAAGCCGGTTTTCCACTTGCGAATTTTTTCGCGCGAAGCGAATTTTTCATTTGTCTTTGGTCTCTCAACTGGAACCATCTGGAACTAATTGGATAAAGACAAAAGAAAAATTCGCTTCGCGTGAAAAAAATCGCAAGTGGAAAACCGGCTTAACAAGGAGAAGTTGCGAAAAATGCAACTATAGGCCCTCTGCCAGGGCCGCAAGTTCGATTTCGTTAACGATATGACTTGATTTGTGATCTAAACAAAACAAAGTACGCCACTGGTCCACCACATTGCAAGGAAAGCTGCGAGTGGCTTATAACTATCAAACGATTGATTCTTTCCCAACTTTTCGATGATTTATGCATTAATTGTTCGTTTTTATCATTACTGTTGTACAGTGCATGTGTATATTTGTTTCAAACTTTCACTGGGTAAAAATATTTATTTGGACGAGCTTTCGACTGCCAGTCTGCAGTCTTCGACAGGTAGATTAAAGTGAATGATGTTTAAATATTGTAAGTAATTGTATTTTTGATACGTACGTGATGTGGGTATCCTGGATAAATATAATTATTATTATATAAGTATTACGTCATGAAATCTGTAAGCCAATCACGCCAATGAAGTCTGGATATTGTTCGGACCCAAACTACAATGAGCTCCTGTGTAGAATGCCGAATCACATGGAAGAGAGCTGTGCCATTTTAGCCACTTTCAATGTAGAACTGATAGACTCAAAAATAGTTTTTTCCCAGCAATGTGCTCGCAAGGTGCACGACTGTTTTTTGCCTATTTAGAATAGATTACCAATACAAATGGTAGCTTGCCTGTTCTTGAATTATTTTTAAGTGTTATTGTAGTATAATCTTTTAAATTCTTATATTTTTACTAATATTTTGTCAACGTTACTGTAATTCAGCTATGGGTGCGAAAGTATTTTAATAAACCTACCTACTATACTACAGATAGACAATTTTAAAGCAACAAACCTGTTCAAATCAAATGCACGAACAGTGCCGTCGAGTGAAGAGCTGAGAATAACCTGACCGTTGGAAGTAAAACTAACACCTGTCACCCCAGCAGTGTGTTCATGAAATGTTACAAAACAAAATCCTGATGTCGTGTTCCAGACTTTTACCTGCACAATCAAGTAAACATGGAATTATTGTAACGAAATCATGCATTCTGAAATAGGATGAAAAAACTGGAATGAAAGTAGCATGCTATGGGACTTATCATGCTATGGGATTGGAATGTATATTATTTCTATGATATGGGAGCTAACTTATTATTATTAGCATGATATGAGAGTCAACATGATTATTACTTGCACGACAAAATTACTGATTAAGCAAAATATCAAAAGTCGTACAAATATTTCATTATTTGTATTATTTTCTATCAAATTAATAAATCGGAGGTGAGGCTTGTATTTTATTGTATACAACAAAAGGAAGTTATCAGAGAATTAAGAATCGCTTCCGGTCTATTAATGGTATGCATATGGTGGGCACGTAATAGAAGGATATATGATTAGACACAAACAAGCTGTTTAAGTTTCCCAGCCAGGTTTCCCCCGCCCCTTGACGTCAACTTTTTTGTAGCTTGTAATGCATGCATAGCTCGCTTCAATATCATGGCAACAAGATCTTCGAGGTTACGCTGATGATATCTGATACAATACACCTTCCCGGAAGGTACTTAGCCGTGGCTAGAAAGCCTCGTTTCCGTGATGGACACATTGGCTTTCGAGCACTCTATCTTGTTACAGATGACAGAATTATAAACATGTCTTTCATAGTCCCTGATATAACTGGATGGTTTCGTAAATATGTCACTTGTAAGAAGATGTAAGGAGCTCTAGAAGATGTAAGGGACGTGAGATGTGTTTCTCAAATGGCGATACTACTGCAGTTTATTTCTTCTGGCAGCTTGTTCCAAACGATTGCTCCAGAAAAGGCAAAACTCTCAGTTAGTGGTTTTGGCAAAGTCAGACAAAATTTCCTATTTCCGAGTGACTATCTTTGATTTACAGCATAGAAGACTTGCAAATGCATGGATACGAGCCATATTATTTAATACTCTAAACATCATTAAAAGCTTGTGATTATGCCTCCTTTCTGCATGAGTTCTCCATTTCAAAGCAAACATTTCCACGTGTTGTAAAAATTACAGAACCTAAGTATAAACAGGTACCTGTAACATCACGCCGTATGAAACCTCAGGTAACACAGACATTCGAAATCGGATCCAAACTATCCAAACACACTGCATGGTGAACCTCCGTTGATATTTTGTAAGTTTTTTATCCAATTAAAATACTATATTAATAATTCATAAACCTTGTGGCAAACCATGTCAGCCATAATATGTCACGTGGAGTGATAAAACACATGTGGCATTATATAATTGTTCATCCTAATTAGTATTTTAATATAAAAAATACTAATGAGACGGCATCTTTTGTAGTCGTATCACTCTTCTCCGCAGAGGCTTTTTTGGCTGGCCAAGTACTGTAAGTAGCAGGCAACGGGCGGGATTCGGCGAGTGCGGGTTGTTGAGAGCGGGATTCGGGCGGGTGCGGGTTGAGAAATTACATTTGACCCGCCCGAATCCCGCTCTCAACCCGCACCCGCCCAAATCCCGCCCGTTGCTTGCTACTTACTTGGCCAGCCAAAAAAAAAAAAAAGAAGCCTCTGCGGAGGAGAATGTAGTCGTACTTTAAGCTATTCATAACACTCGCTGTCATGTTTTATCTGATAAAACACAATACTGTATGAGTGCGAGCTTACCTTGGCATCATCTCCTCCAGTAACTACGAGCTGACCATCAGGGGAATACGCCAGAACATTCATATCATAAAAATGTCCTTGTTGTTTCAGAATGTAAGACTCACTTTGCCATTCCCAAACCAAAAGTTGTCCAACCGAGGAACAACCAAATGCTAACCACTCTCCACTTGGATTCACCGCAACAGTTGAAATTGTTTTCTGAGAAATACTAGAAAGAAGAACGCGAGGTTTAATGTTACTGTTTTCTGAGAAATACTAGGAACAAGAAGGCGAGGTTTACCGTTACTGGTTTTTGAGAAATATTAGGAACAAGAAGGCGAGGTTTAATGTTACTGTTTTCTGAGAAATATTAGGAACAAGAAGGCGAGGTTTAATGTTACCGTTTTCTGAGAAATGCTAGGAACAAGAAGGCGTGGTTTACTGTAACTGGTTTCAGAGAAATATTAGGAGCAAGAAGGCGAGGTTTAATGTTACTGTTTTCTGAGAAATGCTAGGAACAAGAGGGCGAGTTTACTGTTACTGATTTCTGAGAAATATTAGGAACAAGAAGGCGAGGTTCAACGTCAGTCCAGTTTCGATACAAGACAAGAATCTCGAGAGGGTGCTATCAGGAGGGTTACGATTCAGAACAATGCGACAGCTACAACAAATGAAAATAATTTGTCTGCACGTAATGCCACTTGGGTGCATATCCTATGTACAAAAAATATTATTTTCACTTCATTTTTGCTGTTGCTGCCGCCTTCTTGGCGCTAATATAATGTAGTAGTCAAAAGGAATCTTGATTTAAATTGATTGCGTATTGGATCTATGGTCACTTTATGGTCACTGTGGTTTAATAAAACTACAGTTAGGATTATATAATTTTAAGGATAGGTACATGTACAAGATTAAATGCTAGTATCCATGCCGTGATACCAGTGCCGCGTTTGCTATCCTACAAACTCGCATGGTGTGCATGGTTTTTTACCTTAACGTGTGAATCAAATTAAATTCTGGCAGTTCATGAAGTGCAAATATTCCAGAAGAGAATCCAGCTATCAAAATCTTGGTTTGCTTGTGAAAAGCACAACAGGTCAAATCAGTATTGTCTTGGTGATAAAAATATCTACATGGATAAGAATTATACGGAATGAAAACAGAATGTTGCAGGTGGGTTAATACACAACATACAGTCGCGGACAGTTTGATAAATATTGAGGTCTAATGAGGGGAGGGGGGGGGGACGATTAGGAGACCAATACATGTCCCTGGAAATCTTAGCTTTTTAAACGTTTTTGCCTTAAATTTCATGCAATATATACTATAGCTTACATGCAAGTAATATAGACAAACAATGCTTTCATGTTGAAAAATTATAAATAATAATATATTTATTCCATTACACCATTACTGGTACATAGGATATATTACAATATAACAGATACATATACAAACAATAAAACTATAGCTAATCTTAATTACAAACAGTATACAGTCAGAGAAAATCTTAGTTAACTCGTAAATGTATCTGGCTGTACAATTTGTTAAACTCTTGTCATTCATGGATATACAATAAAGAAACAGGTCGTTTTTACCAAGTGAACTAAAACAACTATTAATTTCCAGGATCTCTTTCAGGAAATTTTCTTTGAGATTTTTTAACTTATAATTTTTACAATTTAAAAAATAATGGTATTCGTCACCTATATCATTTGAATCACAAATTGGACATAGGCGTAACTTATAGTCAATATTAGTATATCGACCGACTTCAACTGGAAATCTATGTGCAGAGTTATTCAGCTATTAATAATTCATGAGGAAAACACAAAGGAAAATCATAAGCGTGTCGTATGTTGTTATATGATAGAGATTTCCCTTCGGTTACATAAACTTTGACTGTGATTTTGATTTTCTCGACTTACGCAACGTATTTTTTGAAAATTACTTCGCAATGAACTTACTAGATCGATCGTTTTCGAAGCAATTGAAAACGTTCGCATACGAGTTTTATCAGTTCAAAACATTCGCAGTACGAGTTTTACTCGGCTTCGCCTCGTATCTTTATATCTGATAAAACACTGCTGCTCATATTTTAAATAGTACTAAGCTGAGACACAAGCTCGCAACTTTCTTTACTTGCGTCCTTCGCTCACCTCACCGCTGAAAACCTCAACGACGAAAACGGTCATAGACTCATGTCTCGCTGTTTATGAATGCTGACCTAACTCATACACAGCAAGACATGAATCTGTATCTACGAAAACGGTCATAGACTGATGTCTCGCTGTTTATGAATGCTCACCTAACTCATACACAGCAAGACATGAATCTGTATCTATGACAACGGTTTACACTTAATGTTGTCTAATCTATCATAACAAGTCATTACTGCACTTACTTGGATTCTTTTTTCCACTTTACATCTACTTCTCCGTCTGAATAATAAAATCAGTAAATAAATACTGTAGGTGGGTTCAAGTTCTAAGTGTTTTATGCAACACATGATCGTTCAATGAACCAGTGGCGGACACTTAGTTCTTTAATTTCCCTTAAATTCCATGCAGCATATAGCTTGTCACAACTTTAATACACAGTTATTCAGCTATATGAGTCAAACGCCTATCAATAAAAGGTTTTCGAAAATGATCGAGGGGTGCGGGGTGTTGGCCCCCCCCCCCCCCCCCAAGTGAATGTATTGCCACTTATCATTTATAGGAGCGGGCAATGATGCTAAATATTATCATTATATGCATTTAGAACCACATATAAAGTGAACATATAGTCAACGACTTGTTCACTCCGATAAATCTATTTTCTTGACTATTAACTTTCTAAGAGTTGACTACCATGTACTACTCCACTGTCCTTACTTAGTGAAACGCACACAATATATAGGAGAATTTCCACTGAATCAAGGCACTTAATTATACTTAGAGAATAGTACTTTACACATCTTTAATTATTTCGAAATTTTGGAAATCGTATCAGCGGAGTTTAAAATAGCTGTTGGCATTTTCACAGCGCTAGCCGGTGACTTTTAATTAGAAACGCCTTGTTTTTCTCCGTAATCCATTGATCTATGTGATGGAATTGATAGGTTTTTAATTTAAAAAGATCGTGTTTTGCTGCCTATTTTGTTATTTTTCTGTCAATCTTGATTAAAAGGTCGAAACTCGATCTGTGTCTTTGGTATTAAAGGGCGGTGGGATATGTACATGCAGGTGGGGTATGTACATGCAGGTGGGGTATGTACATGCAGGTGGGATATGTACATGCAGGTGGGGTATTTACATGCAGGTGGGGTATTTACATGCAGGTGGGGTAAGTACATGCAGGTGGGGTATGTACATGCAGGTGGGGTATGTACATGCAGGTGGGGTATATACATGCAGGTGGGGTATTTACATGCAGGTGGGGTATATACATGCAGGTGGGGTAAGTACATGCAGGTGGGGTATGTACATGCAGGTGGGGTATGTACATGCAGGTGGGGTATATACATGCAGGTGGGGTATGTACATGCAGGTGGGGTATATACATGCAGGTGGGATATGTACATGCAGGTGGGGTAAGTACATGCAGGTGGGGTATGTACATGCAGGTGGGGTATGTACATGCAGGTGGGATATGTACATGCAGGTGGGGTATGTACATGCAGGTGGGGTATGTACATGCAGGTGAGGGTTGTACATGCAGGTTTATTTTGTATTATTTTGTATTTTAAACTTAACCCTAATCCTAACCCTAACTCCAATCCTAATCTTAATCCCAACCTAATCCTTTCCCTAATCCTAAAAGTCTAAAAATAGTAACTCCCAGGCATGCAAATTAGTGCTGGTCATCGGACATTGTCCGGCCAAAATTTACCTTTTGTCCGATCAAAGCTTTTTAAGACCGGACATGTGACCGACCGATTTAGGCTGGTCAAATCTCCATTTTTTTTATTAATAAAACCAACAAGAAAGCAATATAGACAGCACTTCTTCACTATTTCTATTAATTAAGGTTAAACCGTAAGATTTAATTATAAATCTACATCACCTTTGTTGTGTAGCTGGTAGAAATTAAAAAAGAAAAAGTTTACTTTGTCCATTGTCCTGGAAAAATTGATAAATGTCCGACCAATTTTTGGCTTGGCCAGACATTTGTCCTTCCAAGTAAAATGATTATTTGCAGCCCTGAACTCCCCCTAAAACGTAACTTGTAAGGTACCAGAAAGCCACAAATATATCTAAATTCACCATATCTATTTTAAACCCTGCTTATTTGGATAAATATAAAAGAATATTTAAAATAATAAATGGGAGGTGAGCTCGCGCATTCTTTCTTGGTGTCGTTTTAAATTCAATTGGCAAGACACAAAACTTATATAAGATTTTAAAAAATATTTTCAAACCTGAATCTTCATTATTCTTATCCTTCATTTCCAGCTCATTGATATCTTTATTACAAGACCAAACAAACAGCGCACCATCTCTACTCACTGTATAAATCTTTGCAACCGTTAAGAAATTCATTACCTTGAGCTTGAAATAATCATTTTCTTCCAACAAATATTTGTTATTTGTTTTCTCTGTTCTTGTGTGTTTTTAACGTGACTGCCGTCTAGATATGAATTTCCCAAAATTATTCATTGGCTGCCTGAATATATTTAGCCCTTATGGTTATTCCAAGTAGCCAGTACCCAAACCTAATATAAAATCACAATATTGTATCTATCTTTTATATTATTGGATATAAATAAAATTGTTGTTGTTGTGGTTGTTGTAGTGGTTGTTGTTGCTGTTGTTGTTGTGGTGGTTGTTGTTGTTGTTGTTGTTGTTGTTGTTGTTGTGGTGGTTGTTATGGTGGTTGTTGTTGTGGTGGTTGTTGTGGTGGTTGTTGTTGTTGTTGTTGTTGTTGTGGTGGTTGTTATGGTGGTAGTTGTTGTCGTGGTGGTTGTTGTTGTGGTGGTTGTTGTTGTTGTTGTGGTGGTTGTTGTTGTTGTGGTGGTTGTTGTGTGTGTTGTTGTTGTTGTGGTGGTTGTTGTGGTGGTTGTTGTGGTGGTGGTTGTGGTTGTTGTTGTGGTGGTTGTTGTGGTGGTTGTTGTGGTGGTTGTTGTTGTTGTGGTGGTTGTTGTCGTGGTGGTTGTTGTGGTGGTTGTTGTGGTGGTTGTTGTGGTGGTGGTTGTGGTAGTTGTTGTGGTGGTTGTTGTGGTGGTTGTTGTTGTGGTGGTTGTTGTTGTGGTGGTTGTTGTCGTGGTGGTTGTGGTGGTTGTTGTGGTGGTTGTTGTCGTGGTGGTTGTGGTGGTTGTTGTGGTGGTTGTTGTGGTGGTGGTTGTTGCTGATGTTGTGGTGGTTGTTGTTGTTGTGGTTGTTGTTGTTGTGGTGGTTGTTGTCGTGGTGGTTGTTGTGGTGGTTGTTGTTGTGGTGGTTGTTGTCGTGGTGGTTGTGGTGGTTGTTGTGGTGGTTGTTGTGGTGGTTATTGTCG